GCAAGTGGGTCTTTAAAAGAAAGAAGAGAATTCCTGGTGTTGAACCTGCTAGGATCAAGGCGAGACTTGTGGCAAAAGGGTTCTCACAGAAGGAAGGAATCGATTACCATGAAGTCTTTTCTCCTGTGGTGAAACACAAAACCATCTGATTTCTTTTGGCAATGGTGGGTGCTTTTGATCTGGAGCTGGAGCAGCTTGATGTAAAAACAACATTCCTTCATGGTAATCTAGAAGAACGGATTTACATGTCTCAACCGAAGGGGTTTGAAAGTTCTAAAGGGGACCATGTATGCTTGTTAAAGAAATCTCTATATGGCTTGAAGCAGTCTCCGAGCCAGTGGTATAAGAGATTTGATTCTTTCATGGTGTCTAATGGCTATACTCGTAATCATTTTGATAACTGTGTTTACTCAAAGAAAGTTTCTAGTGATTCCTTTGTGTATCTGCTATTGTATGTGGATGATATGTTAATTGCAGCTGAAAATATGACTATAATTAATGACTTGAAGGCTCTAGTATAGGGTGAGTTTGAGATGAAGGATTTGGGTGCGACAAAGAAAATATTAGCTTTGGAGATCTGGCGTGATAGAGAAGAAGGACGGCTATGGGTTTCTCAAGAAAAGTATATTGAGAAAGTTTTGTAGGCATTCTCTGTTGATCAATCCAAACCGGTGAGTACCCCTTTGGCGGCACACTTTAAACTTGATCGAAGCACTATACCGGCTACAGATAAAGAGGTTAGCTACATGAAGACGATTCCATATTCAAGTGCAGTTGGAAGTCTTATGTATGGATGGTATGTACGAGACCGGATCTCGCTTATGCAGTTAGTGTGGTGAGCAGGTTTATGGCTAATCCGGGTAAAGCTCACTAGGGAGCTGTAAAGTGGATCTTGCGATATCTGAAAGGAGCGTGTGATATTTGTCTGGTATATGATGATAAAAGCCATGGTGATGGTCTGGTTGGCTATACAGACTTTGATTATGGGAGTGACTTGGTGAAACAAAGATCACTAACTTGCTTTATCTTCACTCTATTTGGATGTGTAGTCAGTTGGAAGTCTACTTTACAACCTACGGTTGCATTGTCGACGACTGAGGCAGAATACATGTCAATGAATGAAGGTATTAAGGAGGGTATCTGGTTACATGGTCTGGTGCAGAGTTTGGGTCTGAAGGTGGAGAAACCGGTGTTATTCTGTGATAGTCAGAGTGCTTTAAGTTTGGCTAAAAATCCAGTGTATCATGAAAGAACCAAGTATATTGATGTAAGGTTGAATTTTATCCGTGATGTTCTGGATGAAGACATGTTTTCTATTCAGAAAATAATTACATAACACAATCCAGCTGATATCTTGACAAAGACGCTACCGACGGAGAAGTTCGAGCACTAGTTGAACTTGGTGAATATTCGCAAGAGGTAAAGTCCTCTCGGGGCATCTGACAGGAAAGAGACGACTGACAGATACTGACAAACCTTTGGCGGTTGGAGAAACTGCAAGTCAAGGCAGAGATTGTTGAAACATGACTTGGATTTAGCGGTCTACCCGACCCGAAACTAAAGCGAAAATGCTATTTCAATTGGCAGGGTTCCTTTTGGACTTATCCTAATTAATAAAAAATGGGTTTAGGGTTTAGGGTGTTTTTGAGTGCTTATCAATAGATAACTATGGTTCCTAGTCGTATGACATAATTGTAACTTTCTAAATCAGTATAATAAAATTTCTCTGAATCAGTATAATAAAATATCTTTGGTTCCTACCCGTGGACGTAGGATGACACACCATCACCGAACCACGTAAAACCTTTGTGTTCTTTATTTGTTTTCTTTCTTGTTTTCTCATAACATTTCAGCTATCTGTTCTTCGGACTTGACATACTTCAACTGTGTTTCTCTTTTGTTCACTCTCTCCCAGATGAAATGGAACTTTGTATCTAGATGCTTGCTCCATTAATGAATAACAGGGTTCTTGCTTAAGGAAATTGCAGATTTGTTATCAACATGAACAACTGTAGCTTCAATTTGAGAATATCCCAGATCTTCCAGTAATTTTCTCAGCCAAGTTGCATGACATATACATGAAGCTGCTGAAACATATTTAGCTTCACATGTAGATAACGCCACAATGGGTTGTTTCTTGGAACTCCAAGTGAAAGCAGTATTACCTATGTAAAACACATAACCAAATGTACTTTTCCGATCATCAATGTTTCCTCCCCAATCACTGTCACTATAGGCAATCAACTTGAAATCATAAAAAACAGAATAAAACAATAGGTAGATGCTGGAAAGGCTCTGATACCACTTTATTATAAGGAAGCTTGATCAAAGAAATAAAAATAGTAAGGAAGAATATAAACGGTTTGATTTAGAAAATATGGTTGGATGCCCAAAGCTCCACATTATTTTCTTACATCACTCTCTGGTGATTATTACATAGAGTTGCACAAATATATAGATATAAGACTCATTAATCAACCCTAAACATAAGCCACAAAATCAGCCATTGAGTGATTGCATATAATTGGCACCATAATTCTAGCCTTAACTCTACCTAATCTTAATATGGCAGTTATTATAATTATTTTTGATATATTATTTAATTACAAGTTTAGTATCTCAATAGATTTAAAGTTAAAGAGAAAACTAATTTTTCTTAACAACAAGAAGAATATGACTGCGTGTTTTATGCCTCACAAATCACTTATAATGAAGAAAATTATATTTGGTACTTGGATAGCGGATGCAGTAATCATATGTATGGAGATCAAAATATCTTCCACAAGATTGATACTTCCATAACATCCAAAGTAAAACTTGGAGATGGAGCATTTGTACAAGCTGGTGGAAAAGGGAGTGTCATTATTGATTCGGGACAAGGTGTCATGTACATCAACAATGTTCTATATGTTCCAGACTTGACACAAAATTTGTTGAGTGTCGGACAGCTCGTGGAAAATGGCTGTTGTCTTGTATTCAAAGACAATTGTTGCAGGATTTTTGACAACAAAGATCGGACAAAGATTGTTGCCGAAGTTAGTATGGAGCGCGGCAGAAACTTTCCAATGCAGCTGCAACATAACGCATTGAAGACTGATGTTGCTGAGGACACACGGATTTGGCATAAAAGATATTGTCATTTAAATTACCATGGCTTGAAACTTCTCAAGGATAATGAGATGGTGAAAGGATTTCCGAATATTCAGATTGGAAAAGAACTATGTGAGAATTGTGTCACGGGGAAGCAACAATGTGCTCCATTTCCAAATGGGAAGGCGTGGAGAGCATATGCACCATTGGAGCTTATTCACTCAGATATTTGCGGGCCGATGAAGACAACGTCGTTGGGTCATCATAGGTATTTTCTAACCTTCATTGATGATTATTCGTAAATGACATGGGTATATTTATTGAAGGAGAAATCCGAGACATTTACAATCGTTAAAAGATTCAAAGCATTGGTTGAAAATCAAGGAGGGTGCCGGATCAAAACCATTCGAAGTGACCGAGCAGGTGAATATACCTCTCAAGAGTTTGAATCTTATTGCAAAGATGCAGAAATTTGGAAACAACTCACATCCGGTTACTCACCAAAGCAAAATAGAGTAGCCGAAAGGAAGAATAGAGCCATTTGTGAAATGGCAAGAATCATACTAAATGAGAAGGGACTTCCAAAAAGTTTTTGGATTGTCGCAATTGATATTGCAGAGTATATACTCAACCAATGTCCAACAAAATCTGTGTGTAATAAAACACCCTATGAAGCTTGGACAGGAATCAAGCCATCGGTGAGTCATTTTAAGAGTTTTGGTTGCATTTGTTATGTTCACATTCTAGTAGAAAAGAGAACCAAATTTGACGAGAATAGTGAAAAATGCATCTTTATTAGTTACTCGTCCAACACGAAAGGTTATCATCTCTTGAATGTAAACACTAACAAGCTGATTGTTAGTAGAGACATTATATTTCATGAAAATGCAGCTTGGGATTGGAAAGAAAAGAAAGTGCAGGGAATCATCTATGGTCAAATTCCAACAAATACTTTCGAAGGAAGTGAAAGAGATAATTCAGCACCATTATCTCCTATTGCAACACCGTCAATTGAAGGGTCGGCAATATCCTCACCTGAATCCCCTCTTCTAAAAATGAAAAGGTTGAACGGCATCTACGAAAGTTGCGATTTTGTGATGACGGAACCCGAAAGCTTTGAGGAAGCTGTAAAGATTGAAGTTTGGAGAAATACCATAAAAGAAGAAATATATATGATTGAAAAGAACAATACTTAGCAACTGGTGGAGAAGCCGAGAGATAGAGATGTGGTTAGCTTGAAGTGGATCTACAAAATCAAGTTGGATCAAGAAGGGAAAGTGCAAAAATGCAAAACTCAACTCGTGGCGAGAGGCTTTACACAACAGCCAGGTATTGATTTCTCTGAAACGTTTTCTCCGGTGGCACGAATGGAGACTATTCGGATTGTAGTCATTCTTGCAGCGCAAAAGAAGTGGAAAATTTCACAACTTGATGTGAAATCTAATTTCCTAAATGGAAAGCTTGATGAAGATATTTATGTTGAGCAGCCTCAAGGTTTTTTCGTTGAAGGGGGAGAAGAGAAAGTCTACAAGTTGAAGAAGGCGCTTTATGGACTAAAGCATGCTATGAGGGCATGGTACAATGAGATCGACTCGTATTTCCTTAAGTCCAGATTCAAGAGAAGCAAAAATGAACCTACTCTATATGTGAAAAATGAAGGCTCTAAGATCCTGATTGTGTGTCTTTATGTCGATGATCTTATATTTACAGGGAATAATTCTTCTTTGTTGGAAAGATTCTAACACGACATGATGAAGACCTATGAGATGAGTGGTCTTGGCATGATGAGTTACTTCTTGGGCATAGAAGTAAAGTAAATGAAGGATGAAAATTTTCTCTCTCAAAAGAAATACACCAAGGGAATTCTAGAAAAATTTCACATGGAAAATTGCAAAAGTATTGACACTCTAATGGCTCAAAACAAAAAGTTGAGGAAAGATGATGGCACAGAAAAAGTTTTAAGCTCGACTTATAGGAGCTTAATTGGTAGTCTTCTTTACCTAACTGCCACAAGACCCGATATCCTCTTTGCAACAAGTTTTTTGTCCAGGTTTTTGCAGGAACCAAGTCAAATTCATTTTGCCGCCGCGTCAAGAATTTTAAGATACTTGAAAGGCACACTTGATTATGGTCTCATGTACAAGTCCTCACTGCACTCCGACTTGGTTAGTTATTGTGACAGCGATTGGGCCGGGAGCCTTGATGATAGGAAAAGTACGTCCGGTTGTGTTTTTCAACTTGGTGCCAACACATGCTCATGGATATCCAAGAAGCAAAAGGTTGTGGCCACATCGACGGCACAGGAGGAATACATCAAAGCCTATAAAGCTATCACACAAATAATGTGGTTGGGAGAGTTCTTGAAGATGTTGGGTTAAATCAAGAAGAAGGGACCCCTCTCTTTTGTGATAATAAGTCGGCAATCTCAATAGCAAAGAATCTAGTGCAACATGAGCAAACTACGCACATTGCCATCAAATATCACTTTGTGAGAGAAGCCGTGGAAGATAAAGTGATTAAGCTACAGCATTGCAAGAGTCAAGAGCAACTCACAGATCTCTTTACGAAAGCACTGCTTAGGGAAAAATTTTATCATTTGCGTGATCACATTGGAGTCATAAAATGCATTAAGGGGGAGTGTTAGGATTAATGCATTTTAAAGAGTCATTTAAATTACTAATTTATGAGTGTGACTTTTCCATTGTCCCAAATATAATTAAGTGTTCTAAATATTTCTATATGACACTATAAATTGTAATGCAAAGGTATGGAATAAGAGGCAGTATATTTCTATATGACACTATAAATTGTAATGCAAAGGTATGGAATAAGAGGCAGTAATATCTATATTCCCTTTTTTGTCTATTAAAATTCATCACTGGGAGTTGCAACAGCAACCCTAGATCTTTCAAACTGGTTCTTATCCCTATCAAAGCCATCATCTCTCCTTTTCCATTTGAAGCCCTTTCAAACTTCGCAGCAATTCTCCGTCATTTCTCGCATCGGTAGGGTTTGGATCAGAACCTGAACCGATGCTATCCGTTGCTGGCCTGGCTCCATTGTCTCTCAGATATTATTACAAATCATTTAAGGCTTTCTTTATAATACTCATCTTTGTTGTAACCAGAGTTAAGAAATACAGTATCCTTCTTTAATTCTTCACAACCAAACAGAACATTAAACTCTAAAATGTATGTGAATAAGGAAGCTAATAGCTAGGAGCCATGATTGTTTAAAAAAGCTGCACAAAAGGAGATCCTCAAAAGCTAATTAATGGAATCAGAACAAGGATTGTATGATCATCAGTTTAGTTTAATTTACATTATATTCTGATTAGAGGAATTTCTTGCAAGAATCACTAGACATCCCTATTCACATCTTTCTGAAAAACAAAATAAAGTAGCCAAACAAACTAATCAATTAAAGTTTAGAAAATATATAAAGAGTGTGTGTAGTAATATATTAATTTTTTTTTTTGAAAAATATGTTGAAAATCTTTGTTAAAAAAACATAGCCTATATTCTTGTCAGCAAGTTATGTATGCCTATTTTCTTTTTGTCAAATAAATAAATTAAATCTGAATGACTATTTTGTCTATTGGGTCTTAGATCGGTTTAACATACTGATTCACTTTTTAAAAATAGAATCCCTCACACAAATCAAGTCTAAACTTTTACGTAATCTTATATCAAATGATAAATAGGAATATCATTAAAAAATGTATAAAATTGAATTGACGTTAGGTCAAGAGAAAATAAAAAATCAAAGTCTTAAAAAACTTTTTTTTTGTTGGAAGATTAAGAGTGCACCCTCCATAAAATTTAAAATTTACAAAAAAGAAGAAGAATGAATAAATGAGAAAATATTGATAAGTTAATCTATCGTAAAAAAAATTAAAAAATCAAAGCATAATTCATTCAATTAAAGTACAAAACTATTCTAGGCATAATCCTTGGACACATTTCGTGGCTTCACTTGGGCTAGTACTAGTTTAGGATTAATTCTTGTTTTCTTATTTCTTAGCTCATTTGGTTTTGTAGAATTATATGCTAGTTCATTGTTTGTATTATCACTTGAAGAAGTTTAACGATACAATGTCTATTGAGTTATTCTCTAACCGTGTTTTCTTGTTTACTTTCTTGCTTATTTTTGGATTTTGCCTTTAATTTGATATCAAAGCTTGGTTGAAAGATGTCGACATCTGCGGAAGCTGGTGACTGAAACCGTGAGGAGCAAGGTCGTGGCTGATGATGGTCCATTGATAACCCCAAATATTAGCATTTTTTCGCTTGACAAAACTGTGTATTACTTGAATTTTTATGTGAAAACTATCACAATATCTGATTTATGGCATACTTTATTAAATTGTTTCGCTTGGTTTGATTCAAAGCGTGTCTGTTGATATTATTAGCGTTTTTGGCCTTTTTAAGCAATATTTCTGGTCCAGAAAAGCTAAGTTTTGAAAGTCAAGCGACGGCATCTTGGCTTGGCAAGCGACGCTTTTTCTGCTTGTGCCAGCTCCAGCCACCAAATATTCACTACAGTGAAGCGAGAGTGAACCGCTCCAGAAATTCACTAAGTGTTCATCTCTTAGCGGTCCAGCTATTTCTATACCAGCTAGCGACGACAACATCACTTGAGTTGCGGTCATGCCCTCCAGCCATCCAGGCAAGGGAGGAAGGTCTACGCCCTGACACTCTGAAGCGGCACCCAAGGAGTTACGGCCAGTGCAACTGCTTCAACAAATTAACTGCTGTCAACCGCCTAATTACCCAATCAGTTCCAACTGCCGCTCAACTGCTCTACAACTACCCATTCCTTAGATCTATTAATAGGGCCAAATTCATTCATGGATACATACATTCAAGTGTTCATTTTCTACAGATTTTTAATACTTTCCAAGAGCTCCAACCATGAAAGGGAGTTCTCTAGATTGGAATAGCCAGGGGAGTTGAGATTTTCTCCTCCTCTGGCCGCTCACCTTACTGCTTTCTAGAATAATTTACTGTTTTATTTTCTTGCTTTGATTTACTGCTTTCGTAGTGTAGAACTTTACTATTTTCTTTAGTAAGTAATGGAATATCAAGATTTCTCCATTATCACTCCTATCTAAGAGTCATATTTGTGTCTAAATGTTAGGATTAGAATTCCATTTTGTTGTGGAAGAACAGAGAAGAATCGGCTATTTTAGCCTAGTTTTGCGTCGTATTCATTAACATATTCTAGGTACTTCAATGTAGCTAAGTACGCGGGAGCCTTGTCAACCTGCTTAGTTGCTGTTCTGAATTCGATTCTTATTAAAGAGAGGTAACAGAAGGGTAAAGCCACTAATGAGACAAAGATTAGGATAATTAATGGGGCATAGGCATTGATCTATTGGGCCACATAAATTTCTAGTGACAGTAGAATTTCTTGCTTATAATATCCTGATTCTGGGCCTCATTGAAGTCTTGATGTAAATCTCTTAAGGTCGAGTACAAGTGAAGTTGTTTTCTGTGTGAATAATTTTTACACAATTGCATCCACTTCTTTTGTCATCATGCATTATATATGTTTTTCGCTTACTTACTTTCGTCATTCGTTCATTACATCCATGAGAACCTAACCATCTAATAACCTACAACGCAGACACAACATTATCTAAATCTTCTCACCGCTCGCCTATTATCATTTACATATAAATATATATAATCTGCTCACCGTCATCCGCTCGCTTCCACTCACCACCGCTTTCGTTGCATTCATCGCTCGCCCACTGCTTCCGCTGAATGCCTCATAAACCGCTCATCTTTACTTGTTTTTCTTTAAATTATGTTGTACTTAACTTTTCGGCTCGCTTGCGAATGAGCCCATATTACTACTTTTTGTTGCACGTCACTTGCACTAAATTCTTGATTTAAATGTTGCGACTTATAATCCCTGTATTCGACCTAGAAACTTACCCAGTAAAAAGAGTATAAATATTTGTGATAATACGATTCAGAGTCTACAACTTCACTTTCATTATCTATATTTGAACGTGTCCAATAGTACATATTTCACTCAAGAAACTCATAAGAAATCCCTTGTTTTAACTTCCAAATCAAAATTTGTGTATCATCCATCTCGCTAGAAATCCCTCGCCATGGTCGTGCTATTGATCGTGATGTTCATGTACATGGTATGGGAAGTTGGAGAGGCGTCCTACCCAATGCTTGAACGCAACAACTTCACCGATTGCTCGCTTGTTATAAAGGTGATGCTCCAAGCAAGGGGGCTACGGGATGCCATCGTGTACGGGGATGCTGATCTACAGGAAAATTGTTCGGCATTGGAAGCACCGTAGGAGATGTTGCACGCAATTGCCCCAACGAGAGAACCAATGAGGCATGGGACTATATCAAGTCTGTGAGAGTTGGATGCAATCACGTATATCATGCGAAGTTGAAGAAACTGCGTGCCAAGTTTGAGATGATCGTATTAAAGGAAGGCGAAGATCCGGAAGATTTCACACTTTGCTTAAGCGATTTGGTTGGACAACTTGAAAAGTATGGCAAACCAATCAACAAACAAAGGGCTATTGAGAAGTACCTCTGCATCGCCCCACCTAATTTCGGTCATGTCATCTCCACCATGGGGACCATGCTTGACCTCTCCACCCTGTCCATCGTGAAAGTCACTAGTTGCCTCAAAGGTGCCGAAGATCGATGTCTCTCACATCCATTCTCACCAACCACAACCACATAAGGTAAACATTTACTAACCGTGGAGGAATGGTTCGGTCCCCATAAGGAAAAATAGATCACTGAGCATACATCAGGAAACAATGGTGGCCATTTTAGAAGCGGCGGGAGAGGTGGTCGACGACCACCCAAGACCAATGGTGGCTACAACGCGACATTAGTAGGGACAAGTGCCGCAATTGTGGAAAATTAGGCCATTGCCGCAATTTCCACGGCGAGAGCAGGCGCACCTTGTCAAGGAAGATGATGAGGAACCAACGTTGCTCATATAAGCGTAGGTATGCTCTATCATTGAGGACACAATGAAACACCACAACTTAGTTCTGTGGAGCTCAATGAATCACGTGCCCAAGTTAATCTCGGGAGTGAAGGAAAGTGTTGTAGTGATTTATGGTATCTGGATACAGGTGCTAGCAACCACATGACTAGGAAAAAAAATCATTTGGTAGAGTTGGACACAAGTGTCACCGGGTCAGTAAAATTTGGCAATGGTTCAATGTCGAGATTTGTGGATGCAACTCGGTGGTGTTCACAAGACAAAATGGAGAAAATCGTGCGATCATAGATGTCTACTACATTTTGAGGCTAAAAATTGTATCATAAGTATTAAGAAACTTGATGAGCACGGGTGTGAGGTGTTGATTCAAGAAGGAGTG